AAGTCACCAGGTTCGAAAAGATACCGAGGATGGAACCAGATTTATTAATTTGGGACAAGACTCCACAACCAAAATCCTTCCTTTCCCTACCATAGATGCATCAATTCATGAAGATCTCGCAGCCTTAATTCAGTTATGAGAGAGAGTGACACCCATGTAGACTTTTCATCACCCCCTTCTTCACTTTGGAATATCATCTTTTTAAAGCCACACCACAATATTTTAAGTTTTTGAAGATTGGGTAAGGATAACAAGGGGAACAAGTAAGATGGCAGCGACAATACTTCCTTAGGATAAAACGAAAGATTGACAACTTTAAGGTTGGGAAAGCAGTGAGATACAAATTGTTGGCCATGACAATGACATATCTCCTTCATTCTATAATTCCATCCAAAAGCCAATCTATGCAGCTTTGGAAACGTATACTGCACAATTCCTATTTATTTATTAACAACAATAACAGAGTATATGAAGGAATAAATAGTGTAGGAATTAGGATGAATATACCTGATTCACCCAAAACAGGGGTTGTTTGACTGCTCTTTCCACTTGTTTCTTCTGAAGCAAACAATGTCTCCACTTTGTAACATCTATCCACTCTCATCTTCTCCAACGAAGTCCAATTTATAATAAGCATTTTATGATAGATACTCCTTAGATTTGGCATTCTTATAAGAGTTAAGGATGTCATGCATGGAAATTTAAATAAAATAACATCCGATTGACTGAATTTTGGAGAAAATAATTGCATAGTACTGTTGCTCCCTTTTTCTTGGGGTAGGGAATCAAATATTATATATTCCAGTGATGTACAAATCAAATATCTTCAGTCGGTTAAGCCCATGAAGTCTCATCAACATACTCGACGGAAAAAGATTCAATAGCTTAGGACAATCCATCAAGCTAAAGGAAGTTGATTTGAAAAAGGAATACTGAACAAGTTGGTTGGGCCATAGCCTTCCCAAGTTGTCCATGAATGAATAACCAATTCCATAGGATGTTTCATATAGCTCTCTCATAGTAAGATACATAAGATGTGGAAAACCTTCTGTATCAAACTCAAAAAGCAGATCCTTGGCACCTTCCAATCCCTCTATACATAACTCTTGGGCTTTCTTTATCAACATTTCCATCCCTTTATCTAAGTAATTGCCAATGGCTAACTTTTTAATATGCAACACTTTTAAAGCTTTACTCTTAGTGAACAAATTGATGCTACTACGGGGATCGAAATCAATAGAGAAACGTTGATCAAATCTAATGCCAACAAAGAAGACAAGTTGTTCAACTCTTCAAGTAGAGCATTACCTCCAACATTCCATCGACAAAAGCTATTGCCTATAAGTAGCTCTTCTAATCTACACAATTTTGCTATGACATTTTCTGAGATGACTTCAAGTTAAGAACATTCACTCAAATCTAATAAGTTTAGTTGGGTCAATTATGCTATCCCTATTGGCAATTGCGTAATAGTGGAATCGTGAAAGCTGAGGATATCTAATTTCTTCAGGTTCTCTATGATAGCTATCTCAGATAACTTGCATTCACACAAACGCAAGGTTTGAAGGTTTGTTAATGAAAGAAAAGATGAAGGTAGAGACTCAAAGCTCATACCAGTCACGCTTAACACTTTCAGCTTATCCATGTCTTTGAAAAAAGACAGAGACTCGGAAAGATTGATCATTATTTCGCAACATGAGTAACTTCAGACTTGAACAATCCACACCAGAAAGGTCGGCGATGTTGCTGTGTGGCAATGAGATAGCAGTGCAACCTTTGAGATTCTCCTTCCTCAACAATTCCTTCAGACGATTTCCATCCCTTATGACCCACATTCCCTTGTTTTTTGATGCAATTGAAATGGAAACATCGCGTATAAGATCATGCATTTTCATCAACTTGTAATCTTTTCCCTCGAGTAGTAAGCTAGAAGCTTTGAACTTATGGACTCGTACATATATTCTCTTCCTTTGCTTCTTCAAGCGTGTTGATGCGCTCCAAAAGATCTAGCCCAAAGCAATATTGCAGCAAATCAAAGACAGGGATATCGAAACTCTGAGGATGCAGGCCGCATATCAAGAACAAAGATTTGCTTCGTCATTTCTCAGCCATTTGTAAATCAGCTCAATGGTAGAATATACATTGTCTTGCATCCTCTCTACGTTTGATGAATTTGATCCCCGGAGCTGCAGTAAGGAATCCTCACAAAATCTCAGGTCCATGTCTTTCAAAGTGTTTGCAATTGCTAAGATAGTGACAGGCAACCCTTCACATTTTTCCTTCAATTCATTTGCTATACGTTCATAGTCGCCAGATATGTCACCCACTGTTTTTGGAAAAAGAATCATAGATTCTCCTTGGGATAAAATTTCGACTTTGGAACTCTTCTCAGCATGCGTGAGGCGAAGCACATTGAGGCTTCTGGAAGTCAGCAATATTTTGCATCCTGCAATGGAAGATCTTTTAGCAGCTTCATCCTCAAATGAGATACCAACCTCTTCAAGGTCAAGTTTCTGCCATATGTCATCCAAAACTACAAGGATCCTTTTGCCAGTCTTCAATCACTGGCGTAGCTGCATTGCTCCTCCAGTAACAGTCTCCTTCTCATAATGTAGGCCCAACATGTCAGCAATTTCTCCTTGAATTTTTCTGATGTCTGGATTCTGAGTGACAACGGCCACTGCAACTTAGTTGAACAAGTGCTCCTCCTATACTCTGGCAGCAACTTCTTTGGCAAGTGTGGTCTTGCCTACGCCGGCCATCCCATGAATTCCAACAATCCGAGCACTGGAATCATTTAAGGCCTCCATAATTCCCTCTAAGGCTTTTGTTCTCGATTCAAAGGCCTTGTAACCTTTGGTTATTATCCCCTCCATAGCAGGAGAATAAGAAACTTTGTCGAATTTCCCTTGTCCCAGGAGTTCACTGATAGCCTGCGCCTCTTCTACCGCTTTCTTTCTGACTTGGTAGCGAGATTTGACATTGGGACACAGCGCAAAGAAACATTTCTTCTTTGCTTTCTCCTCATCGTCCTTCAATTTCTCCTCAACGTTTTCAGTAAACTTCTTATTAACGTTGGCCAACCATTTGAGGACATCCGCTTCAATCTTCTCCGCATTCCTTATGGCCCTATCGGCAGAGTGCTGCACTCTACCTCGAGCATCTTCTAGCTTTCCAACTTGCTCCTTCAGATCCTGGACATTGCTGGCAACATATATTATGTACCCAATCTCACGTTTGATGACACCAAACGTGTATTTGGCAACTCTACTGGCAGCACTGCTTACAATAGATTGCATTTTTTTTCTTCTTTAAGCTATAAGAGAAAGACAACTATGAAATAAGCCAAATAACAAAACAAGAAACCACCACAAGTCTGTTACAATGGTTTTTTTTTTTGGTGTGTGTGTAATGGAAAGTGCGAAAGGGCAAATTTGGGTATATGGTTTGGTATGGTGTGAGGGAAAAGAGAAACAATGGTTAATGACAAAATGAGAAGGTTTGAGAGAGAAACTAAAGAGCTGCTAGAAATGTTAACTGTTGTAATATGACAAGAGATAAAAGTGAAATGGTAAAGGATTGAGGAAGCCATCATCTCTTCCTTAAAGCTAAATAATGGGGGAATGTAATTGGAACATTCTTTTCCTCCTTCCCATGCAAAATTTTGGATCATATTCCTTACCTACATTGCTTTTCAACTTACTTGTACAATCAAAGATACCATCAACCTTCTTGAAAACACTTCAAGAAAAGAACCATTCATTAGATGATATAATATGAGAGATTATAAATAAATTAGTCTTTCACCATAAACAAATTATACTTTCCTGTTTTATCGCTGGAAGAATGTAATATTCCAAATTAAGTTTGGTGAGAGCGTAGTTTTGAATTTCCTTTGTTTCTTTCTTTTGCTTTAATCAATGATTATTTACTCTATTGTGTCTCACATTTTAAAACATCAAGACAAGCTAAAGCACTTCATTCCGAACTCGCCAAAAAAATACAGTCTGCACACCAAAAAAGAGAGCACAGTAATTGGACAAAGTTCTATAAAGATCAAATAAATCTTTCTCTTTAACAATCGGTGGTTATTCCATTTAGTCAAATAAAAAACAAAATACCATGAAGATGAATAACGTTCAGACCAATTTCACAAAGCAGGGTGAACATTGCTCAAACATATTTATCTTGAATTAACTTGTCATGTACAGTGCTGAAAGTACTGCTTCAAGTTAGAATCATGTAATGTTCAATCAATTGAACAAATTGCAGTTATTTTGCAACCATGAACTATGCGCATCAGTTGAACAAATTACAGCTATCTAGGAAACAGATGGAAATCTCTCATGTCTAAAAGCTCACTATCTGCATATATTTTGCAATGAAACCATTATAACCTAGGAAGTGTTTAATGGTGTTTTACCAGTTCATTTCAAACCCAACAAGATTATCAATGTTATCAATTGTTTTCCTTAAACACAAATAAAAATTCATAAAAACAGCTTACTTCAGTGACAGCTTTGGCAATGAAATTCTTCTCCTCCATTTCTTTTTCAACTTACTGCACAAACATTAAGCTTACAAGTTCTTCAAAGAAAGGCAGTGTTTTTCAGCGCATGATTTTTGAAGCAAAATGGATGAACTGAGCTGAGAAACAAGAGAAAGCTTCTTGGAACTCTCAAAGATAATTCTTGGGATTTTTATGTTGCTGATTGTGCCTTGTCAATATCTACTCCTATGAAATACTGCATTGGACAACTAAAGCAAGAGAGGATTGAAGCAATTTGCCCAAAATCTTTAACATTCTCTAACCATTCAAGTTCAAGCCAAGCTATGCTTAGTTGTTTTCATGGACATTGAACTGGTTCACTCCAAAAATCAAGAAAGGATTGAAAACAATTTGCCCAAATTCTCAACATTGTCAATCCCATATCAAGTAAGAAAGAGAAGGGACCAGGAGCTGGAGTTGATAAATAAGAGGCACATAGCTCCATTGCAACATACTTACCTGGATGGGGTGGATGGATGATCAATAAGATCCATGGCCTAGGTCAGCGATCTCCATTGCACTAGGGGGAGGCACTTGCCTAAGGTCTCCCCAAGTGGGAGAGCCTACATCATAATTTGTGGCAGTGGGGGGCCTGCGTTCGTGCGGCCCTCGTCCATTGTTAGTTTAAACATTTTACTTGCAGCATGGGCTATTTCTTTGTTCAATACACTTTAGAAATTAAAATTGATGCATGTGAAATTGTAAATCTCATCCAGAACATTGAATCTGTCGAAGAATCATTTCAGGAGCCTAACCCCATTGCTGCGGAAGAAGATGGACTGGTTATGGAACACGGATTAAAATTTGAAAATCAATGAAATGAATGATGAAATGGAATTTGAGTAGATAAGGGTGAAATTGAGGTAACTCAACCTCTAATTAAATTTCATAAATCGTAAGCTTGGGATTAGGGTAACCCTACGCAGAGTCTGTAGGTATGCATAGACATCTCAATGCTTCTATAGAAAATGTCAGAGGAATCTCGATATTATTTATCCATAATAGAGATATCTTAATTCATCTAGCCGGTTGATAAGGAGATGAAGATATTCTTTCCTTCAGAATGTAGTGGAAGTTGCTCGACGCTAGAGAAGGCATCTCAATATTATAACAACACAATAGAAGCATTTCAGTATTTTAGCAACCCAACAAACGCATCTCAATGGTAACAACCCAATATGGTCAATGTATGATGGGTCTAAAGCATCGTATTAAACTGTCGAAGCAACAATCAAAATTTTAAATTCTTTCCTTTTTAAAAGTAAACTCATTTTATATTTAAATATTAAAGACGTTCAGATAGTTTCGCAAAAACAAACGGTTATCAAATGTTATGTGACAGTTTTTGATAATACCTGTACTTGACAATGGAGCAGGCTTCAATTGACTCCAACTTTGCTGCAATTCATATCCATCTTCTGTCGTAACCGGTTTTCGTCCGGGCACGAAATATTTATTACTTGACGGGAAAAGTGATGTGAATAAATGGTTTAAAAAAAATAATTTGGAGTCGCCATCGGCCTTTTGGGTCAGGTAGGTCGATTACCTAAAAATTATCTTTTAAAAGAGTTTTTAAGAAAACATCAGTTAAAAGATGAACTGATCTGCGTTTTAACCAAAAATTCGTTCTTTTTAATAATAAAAAGGGATTCGCGGTCGGTTACGTTTAAGGAAGGATTAGCACCCCTACAACGCCCAAAATTGATACTTTATTAATTATAAATTGTCTCTATTATTGGAAATAAAAAAATTCAAATATATTTAATTTATAATTATCTTATTTCAAATTTTATTACTATAATTTTTAAGAAAATATATTAATTTAAATATATTTATAAAAATATTTATTTATTTAGAAATATCAGAAAAGGACTTCTAGGTGCCTTAAGACAGCTATTTTCTTCAATATTAAAAAACAAATAAATGACAAACATTTTCTTAAGACAAAAATTTATTTTAATATAGTAAGATATTTTTTATTCAAAATATCAGAAAAGGGCTTCTAGGTATCTTAAGACAACTCTTCTTTGATATTAATAAATAAAAATATATTAAAATTTTAATAATTTAAATAAAACTAAATTATAATTTTTATAATATTTAATTATTTAAAATACCAGAATAGGACATCCAGTTGTATTAAGACTGCCCTTTTCTTTGATATCGAAAATAAATAAACATTATTATTTAAAAAATATATATATATATTTATGTGACTAAGATAATAATAAAATAATAATTAAAATATAAAAGTAATAACAAAATAATATTGTAATTAAATAATGATCAAAATAAAAGAAATTCAAAATTATAAAACTAAATATAAAGTATTAAAAATAAAGATTATAATTCGAAATATTATGAAAGATAATGGTTAATAGTGTATTTTAACCTAATTAATTAATATGTGATTAAAATAATAATTAATAAACTATGAGGGACTAAATTTGATATTTTCCTAAATATATATATGCTGATAAGGACTAAATTAAAATAAAATAAAATTAGAAGACTAAATTAAAATAATCAAAAATTGCTTTGAGTGACTAAATTGCAAGATATACAAACTTGGAGCACTGCGGATGGGGTTTACCCTTTATGAAATTATAGAAATACCCTCCCCAAAATGGCGCCGTTTGGGAGAGGGTATAAATACCCGAAACCGGCTGGCCCTACGGGCCATAGTTCTCATTTCCTCATTTCTTCTTCTCTCTCTAGCTGAGAGAGTTTTGTAAACTCTCTCGCCTCTCTCATAGTTTCCTTCGCCGGAGGAAACCAGACAACAACCGATCGCCGTATTTTGCCATCGGCACCACCGTCGGCCACCATTTACGGTGGCCGGAAAATTACAAAACACCCCCAAATCGATGCTCTATTTACCCTAAAGCCCAATCTAAGGTTGTTTTAACCTAAAAGCTTACCAAACGTCGTAGATCTGAGATAGTTTCCTTTGACGTTTCGGTTCTTCGATGACTCGTGGAGGCTCTCACGATGGCGATTTCCTCGGTAAGTCTCTTTTTCTCTTTTTTCGGTTTGTATTTTCTGGGATCGTTGGTGTAGTTCTTTCTTTGTTGGTTGCTGTGTTCTCTGTCCTGTTCCTTTTTTGGCTACTGCTTGCTGTTTATTGCTCTCCCTTTCTATCTCCTCGTCTGTTTCTCTGTTGTTCTCCGTCTGTTCGCTCCTTCTCTTTTTTTGCAGGCGTGATAGCTTTTATAGCCATGGAGGTACGCCCTTCAGACCGGTTCCAATGGGGACTTCTGGTGAGTCACCATAGCTATGGCGGTGACTCACCATAGGACTCGACGTGGGTAGCTTCGTGGCGTTCTGGAGACTTCTTCATAGGCGTCGTGGTAGCAGGGGATCGTCGGCAGCATATGGTTGGGTCATCTGGCAGTAGAATGTCGGCAGTGTGGGACATGGGGTGGCTGGGGTCTTCTGGAAGCTTGGAGCGGCGGCTGGGAGCTAGGGTTTAGAAACCCTAGCAGAAATGTTACAAACCCTAAAGGGTTTGGGTCAACTATCGACCAGAGTTGGATCTCCACTTGGGCCTGAACTGGGCTCCCAGGTCTTGGTTGTAATCGGGCCACTGTTTGGGCTTGTAATAATATATATATTAATAATAATAATAATAATTTTAATAATAATAATAAAACAAAATGAAAAAATAGTGTTTACAGCTGCCCCTCTTTGCTCATTCTTGTGTTAACAAAAATAGAGCAAAGACGAAAAAAAACAATAATTTTTTCATTCGGCTTGTTTTAAGTAATATGGAAATGTTGATCCATCGAGTGATGGAAATTTCTTTTTCGAGTGAAACTGTCTCGAGCGAGACAAATTTTGTTTTAAGGAAAACAATCTCAAGTGAGATAAATTGTTGTTTCGAGTGAAACTGTCTCGAGCGAGACAAAGTTTGTTTTAAGAAAAACAATCTCAAGTGAGATAAATTTCTATTTCGAGTGAAACTGTCTCGAGCGAGACAAATTTTGTTTTAAGAAAAACAATCTCAAGTGAGCTAAATTGTTGTTTCGAGTGAAACTGTCTCGAGCGAGACAAATTTTGTTTTAAGAAAAACAATCTCAAGTGAGATAAATTGTTGTTTCAAGTGAAACTGTCTCGAGCGAGACAAATTTTGTTTTAAGAAAAACAATCTCAAGTGAGATAAATTGCTATTTCAATGGAAAATGTTTACTAAGTAAAAAAACTAAGAAAATCATTTTCTTACTTTTCAACAATTTCATTTTCAGAAAAGATTGAATGAGAAACTTTGGAAATCGTTTTCTCATTATGTTTCAAGATAACCTGTTGATTGGGTAACATGCCCCAATCTCCAGATAAGGTTGTTGGAAATAGTTTAATAAGTAAAAAAACTAAGAAAATCGTTTTCTTACTTTTCAACAATTTCATTTTAGAAAAGATAAAATGAGAAACTATGGAAATCGTTTTCTCATTATGTTTTTGAAATAACATGTTGATTGGGTAACATGCCCCAATCTCAAGATAATGCTCATTCTTGTGAAAATCGTTTTCTTACTTTTCAACAATTTCATTTTAGAAAGATAAAATGAGAAACTATGGAATCGTTTTCTCATTATGTTTTGAAATAACATGTTGATTGGGTAACATGCCCCAATCTCAAGATAATGCTCATTCTTGTGGATTGCGTCCATCTCTTCTTCAGAAGTTTGCGTGATTCCTATATTTTTGGTTTTGAATACCTTCTTCTTGTAAGGTATTATTTTTTTTTACCATGAATCTTCTTATTCTTCGGAAGATCTGTAAAACTTCATGTTTGAATGCACTCAGATGTATCAATGTAATGCATTGTCTATTGTGTAAATGATGTTTTTATGAATGCATGAATGTTGATGCAATCTTCATTTGACTTCAAAGTGGTGAACTCGATCTTCCTTCAGTTAATCATTTATTGCCAGGGTTACCTCTGGATATCAGTGTCACAACTTATGCTATTAAGCTTGCATTTCTGCAGAATCATCTGATCAACTTGTATCTTTGCTGTCTTCTTTGCTTCATGAAGGTCTCAGAAGAAATGTTTCATTTGTGGAACTCTTGCCATAGTCAGAACTATGACCTTGATGTCCCATTTTGTCTTGGATAAAACCAATTTTCTTTGCTTGGACTTGTGTAGAAGTCCCATAAAGCTTTCATCTTTGAAAAGAGAATATGTCATCTTTAAAAAGAGAATCTATCGTCTGACTCAGCAGGGATTAATTAGGAGAGTAGAGTCTATTCTAATTTGACTCTTGAAACACATCACAAGGAAGATTTATTCCAATTCCTTTCATGTCTCCACATATAATCAGATCTCGAATAAGGCAACTTGGACCATATCGTGTCGAGATGCTTAACAATCAACCTGTCGTTCAACATTAGTTAGCTCCATTAGTTTCTTGTTGTTAAAATTTCAGCTCTCTTTCTGTGGAAAGAAATCTTCATCATATCTCACTTCTAATCTTGGGGTTGAAGAAGACAAAATCATCTTGGGTCAATAAAGGAAAACCAATGATAACAACATTGGTTCAACACTATACTCACTGGGTCGTAAAACATTTGATAACACATTATCATCATGTGGTTTCTGCTCAGATGTAAAAC